GTTTGAGCATCCAGTATAAGTCAGGGGATAATACACTTACAGCAAAGCCACAAATAAATATAAATATTAATTTAAATTGTAATGTTTGACTACTTGAGTGATTAAAAGTGACGGTCATAAACAGCAATAGATTGAACATCCATATTTGCTTTGGTATGGCCATAAAACAATCTAGTCCTTAAAGGTGCTATCAATTGCTAATCATATCACTTGTGTTAGCCCATAACTTTCCAGTTTATGACCTAATTGTTTATCAAATATCTGGGGTAAAAGTCATAAAAATGTTCTGAAATCAAACTGATGATTGAGATGTATGAAACACTGTTTGATTAGTACTAATTATCCTTTGTTCCGTATCACTTTATCCACACTTAACATATCACATAATAAACAGTTTATGGCTGATAGAAACCACACGATGTATCATTTTACGATTTGTGTCAAAGTCAAGCAGATACTTGATATCCAATATGTACAGTTTGATAGTAGTCATAATTATCCTCTATATTCTATTCTGTGTTTCCTGTCACAAATGACAATTTATGACACATTATTGAACAGTTATCCATTTCAACAATATTAAAACACTATAATTAATGGCCTCTTCGTCTTAATACCATCCAAATACACTCAGTAGATCCAAATAACAAAAACCACAAAATCTCTGCAATAGTAATATTGACGTTATCCTTCTACACACATTGTCACATAATGAAAAATCTCTAACAACAACAACAAGGTCCAATGTTCAGCCCATGGCGAATCATAACTAAAAATTAGAAGTAGCCTCAGAAGTTACAAAAGTCATACATTGTCAGTTCAAATATAATCCAATATCTACAGTCCAATCGTTTCAACATTCATCCAACATCCGTTTTTCTCACATCCATTGTTGGGTTCTTTGTTTTTCGCATTATGCCACCCTCTGGCCATACGGGACTCCAGGGTCTCTACTGGTGAAGACCAACACTCATAGGTTATGGGAATAACATCTCCCATATAGTTTGCTCCCTTTTTAAGTTTTAGTCTTGTGACATGGTTGGTAGTGGACCAAGCTTTGTGAACAAGCCGTTTTACATGCTTATTCTTGCTTAGCTGGGCCGAAGGCTTGTTGCGTTTTTCCTTGTAGACTCGTAGACGTGGTTTGTTAACTCTTACTCGATTCTTCACTTCAAACGACTTCAGTGTTTTCTTTGCCATTATGGCTAATCCCCTCTGTGTTGCATATAATGTGTCCACAGGGGTAGTTTGCACTTGTGCCTGCATTACATGGTTTTCTTCTGATATAACATCATATTTCTCTGTGTCACTGTTTTCCAACAGAACCACCCCTGCCTTCTCTGTGTCGGACCTTTCTACTGTAGAGTTGTCGGAGTCTGCATTTATTGCATTGTGAGTTTCCAGCAAGTTTTGAGAGGGGCTCACATTCAATGTCTCATCTTCACTGCTCATCTTGGCATCATGGCGAGTAAAAGCAGATTCAAATTTAGGTGAGGATGGAACGGCTTTACCCCCTGCATTACCACTGTTATTTTGTAAAGTGGCATTCAGTTCTATTCTGAGTCTACGTACTTCTTGGTCATACTCCTTTATCTCCATACCAATTTGTTTGCTCTTCTGGAAATGCTCATTACACTTTCTTATTTTCTGATTGTTCATCTTCAGCCTGTTGATTTCCTCGGCCATACTGTTATACCTAATCCTCTGCTGTTTAGGAAATTCGTACAATTCTTCAAATAGGTCATTTGCTTCCTTCAATTCTTTGGTTTCATTTTCAGTTAATACTTTTATTTTAGTTCCTAATTCGGTAATCCTAGTATTGATAACCGAGTCCTCCATTTCTTGAGTTGTGTTCACTTTCTAACAGAAGGCTCCCAGATTCGTTTTTAAGAAAATATATCTATAAAATCCTGGCAACGGCACCAATGTAACAAATTATTGTCATAAAATGTAATGTTGTGGCTCGTGTCGTCTAGTGGCAGTAACATAAAATGTTAGTTTGATTTCTATTTCTTTTATTGTTCATTGATTAATATAACTTTACATGTCCTAAGTAATTTCCTGGTTGTAACCGACTGATTATACTCTAAAACTCAACAACTGAATCTTACTCTGCAAAATCACACTGTCTCTAATCAACTCTAAAATCAACTTCACTGAGGCTACACAATTCTTATTTATATACAGCCTGTTTTTGGCAAAGAGCCAGGTTGGCAAATAGCCAACTGGCACCAGGCCAACTGGGCATAAAGCCAACTGGCACTGGGCCAAATGGATAAATAATCGAATATACAATAAAAACATGGGTTCAAAGCAAGGGGAGACCTCCACTCCAGGAAACCCACTAGCTCAAAGTACTTATCTTTATTACAGTTGGTTTCCTAGAGGTGTGAAGTGACATGGATGGTCTTATGTAAAGTTACAATTAAATTGAATGATTAATCCCCAAGAGCAAATATGCATTTCAGTGATAACCCTCTCCCTATTTCTGAGTCAGTTTTAACCCCCTTCCTTTCCTTGACCATCTTTGTTACAATACTCACAAAATATTTTTTTCAAATTGACCCCCAAATTGAATAGGGGGTAGAAAAATGCTTAAAATCTTAAATAAATCCAAAATATCCTGCAAAATGTTTAATAAATGGTGAACTTAATATTAATTGACCACATTGGGCAGGGTATTTGAACAAATTATGTACTTACAAAATATATTTTTTCATATTGACCCTCTCCCCACTGTTGAAGAAGGGGTGGGTTTGTTGGGATTTTTTCTCTCAACATTAAATGGACACATCACTGTCTTACTTTCTGGCTCTATCAAATGGTACTTGAGCAAAGTTGTGGATTTTTTTATTGGCATTTATGTGCTAAAACAAAAGTTATGAGGGAATATTCTTCGTGCGTTCATCCTACCGTCCATTCGTATGATCGTGCGTTCGTCCAGCTGTCCGTTCGTCGTGCGTGCATTCGTCCGAGCTTCCGTTCGTGGCAACGTTCATCCGACCATCCATTCTTTCGTTCGTGAGTTTACGTTCGTGGGCGTTCGTCCGTCCGAACGTTGGCGCATGCGTGCGTTCGCTCGACAGTCCGTTCCCCATATAATCGCGCGTTCGTCCGACCGTCCATTCGTCGTGCGAAATCCTTATAGTACTAACAAATGAATATGAAACATTATATTCTCTGCAAAGAGGGTGGACTAAGATAATTTAGAAGAATGATCACAAGTAAGAGGAAGGTACCGACAAAAGACAACATAAGAACACCAGTAAGGGGTATGGGAGAGTTTTCCGGCCGGATGAAAACCGTTTAACCCACCTACGTGCAGTCTAAAGTCTGTAGACTCTGAAGAAAGGATAATTTCTGACATCATCAAAGACAAGACAATCAAGACAAAGAAAGAAGACAACGAAAGAATACACTGATGCAGGAGCAACGAATGACATCCGTCCATTCTTTCTTTGTTCGATCGTTTGTTCGTTTGCAGGTTTTAACCCAAGATATGTCTTAGCACTTGCCATACGAAAGTAACCAAGCGAGCAAGAAAGCAAGTAGGCAAAGGAAGTATATGTAAGCAAGCAAAGAAGTAATTAAATAAGCAAATAAGGAAGGAATTGAGGAAGTAATCGTGGAGTTGATATTGGAAGTAATAGTAGTAAGCAAGAAGGACGGAAGGAAGGAAGGATGGGGGAAAGGAAGGAGGTGAGGAATTAAGTAGGAAGGAAGGAAGGTGGATATAAGTAACAAAGAAAAGAAAAGGAATGAAGAAGGAAGGAAGGAAGGAGGTAAGAGATTAAGTTTGAAGGAACAAAGGAAGGATATAGAGGAGTAAGGAAGGAGGGGAGGGAGGGAGAGTGGAAGGACGGAAGGAAGGAAGAGGTATGGAAGAATTTATGAAAGGGAGGAAGAATTGAAGAAATGAAGGAATAGAGGAAATAAAGAAGGAAGGGTAAGGATGTATGTAAGAAGGAAGAGAGGATTGAAGAAAGGAAGGAAGGAAGGAAGGAAGGGTAAGGATGTAAGTAAGGAAATAGGGTAGAAAGGAGGAACGGAAGGAAGGGACGGAGGAAAGAAGAAAGGAATGAAGTTAGAAAAGAAGAAAGTAGGAAGGGGGAATTAAGAAAAGGAGGAAGGAATGAAGGAAGGGACGAAAGAAGTTGTGCATGAGCGAATAAAGGAAGTAGGAAGGAAGTGAGCAAAGAATGAAGTAAGTATAGAAAGAAGTAAGCAAGGAAGGCTGGTAATAATTGAGTGCGTGAGTGAGTTAGTGGGCGGGTGAGTGAGTGGGTGGTTGGGTGGATGGGTGAGTGAGTGAGTATCCAAGCTGGCAATAGGAGTTTGAGACAAAAATAGTATTACCGAACATTTTTCTGACTGTATTTGCTGTTTTGAGAATTGTATCAACAAATAATATATTCATGAAACTGGGTACAATAGTGGATCAAGCTGGGTACGATAGTGCCCAGATTTTCAGGGTATAATCAGGATTCACTCAACATGCACATGATACACTTGCTCCTGATGTCAGCGGGACATCCTCATGTTTTCAGCGGGGCCTCCTCATGTTTTCAGCTGGGCTTTTGCTTTATTGTTCCTGCTAGAAGAGGGGCCTTGGGGGATATGATAGAATTGAAATTTAAAATGTTTTGTAAAGCTTTATTAAGTGAAACTTATTTCATATCACGTTCATTATTCAACCACAGGACAAAGTCGTCCTTCACCTATAATGTATACAAAAATATAGATGAAGATTCAAGATTATAATTTCTCTCTTCAATTGTCAAATAAAGAACCACAGTATACTGCTCGTGATACTTCACGATTTCGTCATTATTTTGAACAAAATGATACTTTTGGATGACGAGTATCTTGTAATGTACTATAGCTGATATTCTAAAATAATGAAATGAACTGAGTATTAAATAATTATAATAAATGTCATTTGTTGAATTGTAATAATCTGAATCTCACCTCGTTTATGGTAGAAATAACCAGCCTGAGTGCTTGCAACAAGTGGTCCGGAATTTGCTCCATTCAATTTGCATTCGATCACATCGCTGCCTTCAACTTTTCTCAGATTGAACGAACTACAAATCTCCTCGTTTTTCAAACAAAATGTGGCGCATTCCAATACAGTGTTGCCGCTATTTGTTATATATTTTGTAATGTTTCCTGATCTCTCAGATTTAGCAACTTTGATATACCATTCTTGTTTAGATTTAAATGCAGCACTAAAATACATGATCAACGAGAACGCCAAAAAGTTGAATATGAGCATGGCGCTCATTGTAGAGCTTAAGAGTATCTTCTTGGTATGATAGTTTCCGTTTCCTTTTCTCACTCGACGCTTAGCATATTTTGCGATTTAATTTAATCAACGCCATAAATACATCCCACATATGCATCAGGAATTGGTTCGGCTAATCATCGACAACGTCCAGAGACAAAATATACGGGTGTACACTATAGCTGTTCAAGCAGAAATTGTGGTGCAGGTTTTAAAACATTTATCTAAGGGGTATGATGAGGTATTTCATGTTTAATTTTATGCACATGCTCTTGGCTACTTTGTGTATTAATTTCATGGTGAAATGATATATTTTATATAGTTTTCTAGATTTTTTTAGATTTTTTCTAGATTTTTTTCTACTTTTTAATATAGGGACACTGCCACCCGGAACGGTATTCGTACATGTCAACTTTTAGCCTTAAATGTTGCCGCCATTTGACCTGTTTCGCAAGTCTTGACCACTATCCTTCTTTGAATTTTGAATTTAACCATATTAGTTTACTTACCAGGCAACCAATTGATGTTGTTTTAATTATAATGTCACATATGACAACTGGCCATTTATGTCAAATCCTCATTCTGGTATCATTTTTGCTGCAAGATGACTGCTGAAATACAGAACATGAAAGAAATTTAAGTGACACAAATACACGCCTAACCATCGCGTAAGCAGGCGTCACAGTCCAGCGTCAAAAAATACAGTAGTACAGTTTTCTGTACGGTGACGAAAATTAACTGAGTTGAAGCAAAAACTATAATGAGGGTTTTAAAAAGATTAATTAGATGAAAATAAATACGATTTCGGGTGTAATGAAAACAGCATTCTCTTAGGAATGGTTTTAACTTTCTAATTATGATAAAAGTTTTTCGAGCACTGCTCGGATTTTTTCTGACTGGATCGGCCCACATAATCGACTCGAGAGAAAAATGGTGTTTTTTTCACTTTTCGTTTGGTTATTATTTTGCCTGTCGTCTGAGAGTATGGAGTATTTTTATGAGAATATGTATTTGTTATCTACACATTTTAGAACAGATGAATATTCGGCAAATAATCATTCAGTGTATTTATTTAAAAAATGATCAGAACTGTACGGTGACGCATCAGCTGTACGGTGACGCTTCCTTAGATTTTATGAAGTGCTCTAAGCTTACTGTTCGAACAAGAGGTAAAGAAACGTCAGATCTACATGTACATTATCACTGGTAAGTATCAAGCGAAGGTTACAGCCGTCACCTTCGCATTTAAAATGGCGGACATGAAATATTAATTTCGATATTTTTAGTTTTCATGGAATTAATTATTTGAAAGTTGACGTAATGCTTTGGTATCATTTGAACTAAACCAGGCTTTTCTCATATGACTAACAAAGATAGCCTACACAGCCATCTTTACCCCATGCAAGATATTGCATCTTTCATCCTAAAAAGTCACACGTGCAAGATGAGATTTACTTGTGACATCCCTTGTTTTAAAACATCAATAACATAGCAACAAGAGAGTTTTTGGTTTCATGATCTTTACCGTATCATACATTTCCAGTAACCTTCCATTAAGCTGTGGAAGATATCGTTGAACTGTAGCGCCCATGCACTATATATGAACAAATGATCACACTCCAGAGTTTCCATTTCATACAATCTTAGTCTCATTTAGTTCATCAAAGCATAGCGTCACCGTACAGCTGGTGCGTCACAGTACAAATTTGATCTTTTTTAGATATACATAATGAATGGTTGTTTGCTGAATCTTCGCCCGTTCTAAAATGTGTAAGTAACAAATACATATTCTCATAAAAATAATCCATACTCTCAGACGGTAGGGAAAATAATAACCAAACAAAATGTGAAAAAACAACCTTTTTTCACTCTGGTCGATTATGTGGGCCGATTCACTCAGAAAAAATCCGAACAGTGCTCGTAAAACGTTTATCATAATCAGAAAGTTAAAACAATTTTTAGAGAATGCTGTTTTTATTTCACATATCATCGTATTAGTTTTCATCAAATTAATTTTTTTAAACCCTTGTCATAGTTTTTGCTTCAAAGCAGTTAATTTGCGTTACCGTACAGAAAACTGTACTCCGCTATTTTTTGACGCTTTACGGTGACGCCTGCTTACGCGATGGTAAGGCGTGAAATAATACCACATGATATTCTTACTATTATTGACCTTGAGCAACTACAACTACCATACCATATGCACGATACAGTCTAGATATGGCTCCGTGTGATTTTCTTCCTTTTCTGAAGTTGAAAGGAGGGGTGAAAGAATTTTTACCCAATGGATGATGTCTAGAGTGGCACTCCAGGAGCATTTGTATCACATAAGCAATTGCAGTTTCATAAATGTCTTCCATTCAAGGGTAAAGCGATACGAAAAATTGTTCAAATTCGTCGACAATATGTTGAAAAGTAGGTCTTAATAAGAAATGAAATTATATCTATGTATTGAAGAGTGACGCATATCGTTTAGCAATCGAACGCTCGTTTCTGGTGTTGCTCACAGTTTAGTATAAAGACCCGATCCCGATCCCAGAATCATACTCAAGGGTTCACAGGCTCGAGGTCGTTGTGTCAACACCTCTAACTGCTATATAGGATTAGTATATTTCGTCACACGTTTATAAAAGGGAGATTTTTATTTTGACAAATTAATTTTACATTTATGGGTGAAGTTTCAGGATCTTCTATTTGTGTATGATAAGGAAAATTGACATCACTCTTTTCTCTCAATAATGTTTTCAGAAGCATTATAAACGGATTAGACCTACTTAATCTCCAATACAATTTCAATAAACTGGCACAATTTAGAAATTAAAACAATACATCAAACTGTACACGATAAATAATTCAAGATGATGACTCAAAATGTGTTTAGCAATTCACTTTACAAACCTAATAGGAGCATCATTAAATACTCATATTGTGTAGATATTTTGGTTAGTCTTAACTACAAAGCTGTCAACACTGTTTAAAGTTGGGTAAAAGAACATATTATTACAAATATGATTTAGAAGGACGTGGCATTAAGGATAGATACACGTCGCACGAAACTGGGGACAATTAGGGTAACATTATGGCGTCAAAATACCAAAACAAAACAATAAGCAGTATACAAGTGTAGGGCGCAAACAGCATTACAACGTCAAAAACGACAAGCGTCACATTTTTTTCAAGTTTAGTCAACCTCAAAATTAAATCATTTATCCTTATTTAATCACGATAAAATTCACAGGGTAGCAAGATCTCGAGGACAATATTTCTAAAATGGTTTTGAATTTTGAAAAACGGTCGGGATATTCACTTGGGGCGTTAGTGAAAATTGATATGTATGGAATTTTTGGTAAAAAACGATGCGTCACATTTTTTCAAGTCTCGAAAATCAGCTCTTATTTTAATATTATTTGCAAAATAAACAATCCGGTTATAGTTTTGTAAATTTCGCCGTGACAATATTGTGCAGTTAATTTTTCATTCAAATCAAACCTAAATAAGAAGGTCAAATTAAGGTAAACTTATCGCTTGTCCCCTTCGGATGAAAAACCTTACATAATTTTGAAAATTGTAGCAAGCGTCCAAATAAGACAATTTGAATTGTAGCCATTACGCAATTATGACGTCATAAATACGCATGGTCAATTGAACAAAATGTGAAAAGTTCATGGGATTCTAATTATTATTTCAAAAGTTATCCTAATTTCAACGAACCGGTTAAGAGTAAAGTGTTACGTCTTACAACGTATTTTTCGATGTTGGGGTAGATTTAACTTAAAAAAATGGTAGATCACAGCAAAATTTTCGAGCAAAAGTAGTATCACAGAAACGCGCATAAAAACGCTTCAAAATGATATATGGAACACATGCTTAGTTTTTTTACTTAGGCGGGTATAAACGTTTAAAGGTGACATTAGGCCGTATTTCTCTAATTGTCCCCAGGTCCGTGCACGATAATTTGGGACCTTTAACCCTTATGTGTACAGGAGGGGGGGTCGGATGAACCCTCCAGATTTTTCCCCGGTACTTCTCTGCCAAGAAAAACTTTTTTATAACCGTAGTACCTATAGCTACAGATAAAGTATCATTTTTGGTGCAAAAATCGAGGTGATCGGAGGTAATTTGGCTGAGTTAGGATGGTGTGAACTTGGGATCTTTTTCAGAAATCGCTTGAAAATCACACCATTTCTATTGTTTCATAGAATAAAAATATAAGCTGGTTCCTTTTACTTTATTTTGCATATAGACCATATAGTATAGTAAATACCCTTTCAAACAAGCAATATTACAAGGAAATGCGATTTTTTGACTGAAATACGAAAATGGTACCTCACTGTTTACTGTACATCTTCAACTATTGAAACCCCATTGAGCCAATAGAAACGCCGTGGCACGTACACATACACTGACACTAAATGGGAAAGGATTGGTATCGATATGGAGAACTGAATTCAACAATGTTTTTCTCTAAAACCAAATATTGAAAACATTCTGTAAAAAAGACGATCCTTTATGTAATGTTGACTGATTAACAACAATTTAATGCAAAAATAATTTATACATATTTTATATAACTGTTTTTGTTAACATTTTTTGTTTTTTAGTGCAATTGTTTTTGCTCCTTTCTACCAATTCTTAAGAATGAAATAAAATATCTTTCCGAAGCTTGTTTGAACAGAATAGCATATACAACATTTTCTTAGACTTCACAATATTATAGTTGTATAGTTGTATAAACACGTTGTGTTTATGTCATTTTGTTCCAATGAGGTTCGAAAAGATGTTTCATTTCACTCTGGAAACATGATACCAAGAACAAAACAAGTGTTTGATGTGTTTTCAAAAACAATATAGATAAAAGTATGTATATCTATTTCAAATTATATCGTTACCATTCAAAAGATGGCCATTGAATTGACAATGTGTAAAAATTTCAGAATTTTTTGATGACTGGTTTAAGAGAAACGTGTGTTCAAAAAGTTCGCCATATCGATACCACTCCTTTCAGGATTGTTTCTTCCATTTTGTAAACGTTCGTTAATGTGGATCCGATTT